TGCTCTTTTGGAAAACGTGATGCCTGGCAACCGTCTGCGGCAGGACTGAAAATACTGGTAAAGGGTTTAGGACTCTAACGATTCTTCCAGAACAACCAGGCTGACAATGAGTAATAGGCAGTTTGATGTGAAAATTAGAAAACTGGCAGACGAAACTGCAAGAGGGAAATTGGATTTCCAGAGAGACGAATGGGAGGCCATGCGGCTGAATAGAGTTCATAAGATGCAAACGCATGCAGGGGAGTTGTAATCCTCCCTCATTCCCAGCACACAGAGCAAGTCCCTATTATTTATTTATTTGCGGGTGAAAAGCGAGAGTTCCGTGGCCCTGGTGTTTATTATCAAAATGGATGGATTCAATATCGAGCAATGATGTGTTCGAAATGAAAGCCACATCATTAAATGTCACGGGCATTTATTAACACAGTTTCCTCCTTATTCAAATAAAACAGGCATTATCTCACCAGGTGCCATGTGACTCCAGCCTTTCCTGGACTGGTTTTGACTGAGGCTCAGATTCTGGGAGGCAGTGTGGTCGAAAGCAAATCTGGGAAAAGCAGATATATCCAGGGGAATGTGATGAGGAATGGAAAACGCTCAGATGGTGGCTTTAACAGGGAGGGCTCCATCTTCCGAAAGCACAATGTGGCCTGTCAACTTACTGTTCTTGCTCTTTAGCGCCCCCATCACCTGTCCCACTAGCTCACCTATTTGTTTCCCATCTCCTTTCTCCTCTCTCTCATTCCTCTCTCTCGCAGCATATCACTGATCAAGGAATGGCTTCCTTTCTTGTGAACTGTGACTTCTAACCTGGACACAAAAGTTATTGGGGTAGGTGGCAACCTTCATCTCGGGATCTTTTGAACAGCTTCATGCCCAGAGCAACTCCATGCTAAAAAGACTGCACAGATTTGAATGGCTATGCTCCAACTGAAAGAAACCAACTTGGGAGAAGTGACATAAATTCATTATTACTGAACTGAAACCTCTTTCTGCTCCAGGCAGAGAAGATAAATTACCACTCAAGTGATATAAATTTATTTGAATGTTTCATTGGATCAAATGCATCACGATGTCTGGAAATCTCTTTTAAGCTGGAATTAAAGAATGGTTATCAGACCAATAATAGACACTATCATTTGCATACATTTCATCTCAAGAGACTTCTGAAGTTATGCAATACTCAAGTGGTTAATTGTTCTTCACACTCCTGACATACCAAGTTACAGCTCAGATTAAGGAAGACACATTGGTGACTGAGATGATTGGCGGGGCCCACTAGGAGGGCATCTGCAAGAGCTGAAAGAGGGTATGGCTGGCGGGGGCACCACGGGGCCTTTTAAAGTGCTTCCATGAGGGAGGTGAACTGGGTAAGTTTATTTAAGGCAGGTTTTCTGGGGCGCCTGGGTGGCTCAGTCGTTAAGTGTCTGACTTCAGCTCAGGTCATGATCCCAGGATCCTGGGATCAAGCCCCACATCAGGCTCTCTGCTTAGCAGGAAGCCTGCTTCTCCCTCTCCACTCCCCCTGCTTGTGTTTCCTCTCTCTCTGTGTCTCTCTCTGTCAAATAAATAAATAAAATCTTTAAAAGAAAAAAAGCAGGTTTTCTCCATGTTTTATGATTCCAAATAACTGGGTATTTGACGATGACCAGAATGCTAGTGTTTTTTGTCTTTGATTGTCCCTTTTCGTCAAAGACTTAAATTCCTTGAAATAGCCTCTAAAGTTGCCATTAATTCCAACTCTCTCGACCCCCCCCCCCCGCAAATTCTTATTGAGCAGGTCTTTGGTCTGAGGTTGTGCTGTGAATGGAATTAATTTTCAGTGTTTGCTTAGAATGTGTAACATCAGCAGGCTGATTTTTGAAAGTCCTTCCTGATTTCTTCATAATCTCATGAGAGCTTCAAGGAAGAATAGACCCCATTTTATTTACTCTGAGCCTCGTGCCTAGCAAGGCATGGAAATGATGTCCCTTTCTTGTTGAGTAAAGAAATGACTAGCCCATTCCCCATGGTGCCATTTTTGTTATGATTCCCAATATTACCAGCACAGCTGTAGGGTACCCTGGATGCACAGGTGCTGGGCTGACAGGAATCCAGCCGGGTTAGGCATGTTTAGCTTCAAATGAGAGACATTCCAGGTCACCATCTGTAAGGTGGGCTTCCTCCGGGAATAGAATACAAGGATATGTGAGGTAGCAGGAGACATAATCTTTGTCATGAGGTCACCTTTGTAGCACAGTGTCACCTACCATTCTATGTGTAATCCTGCACTTTCAAGCCTTAGATTAGCATCACATGACCATGACATGCTTCTGTGTGGCCAATGGACTATGAGAGAAAGTGATGTGTGTCATTTCCCAGCATAGGCAGTTGAGACCCAGTATCCTTAAATCCAACCTTTTCTGTCTCTTTCAAGGGGACTCTAGAGACCCCAGATTTAGACTATTCCATTCTAACATGCCGAAGACTTCCTCAGCCTGGGCTCCCTGGTGAGTGTGGAGCAGTGTCCCCACCGACCGCATTGCAATTATAATGTGAAAGAAAAATAAACTTTTGTTGTGTTAAGTCACTGAGATGGGGTAATTTGTTACTGCAGTATCATAGCAAATTCTGACAAATGCAACCCCAGCAGATTTCCCATTAACATTTCATTGGCCAAATCTAAGTGATATGGTCTCTCATAACTGCAAGGAAGGTTGAGAAAAATGGGAAGAGGATTGCTAATTTGGCTTAAATGAATCACGCGGTCTACCACCTGGGGCTGTCTCACCCCAGAAAAAGTTGAGGTTCAGTTACAAGGAGGAAGTGAGGATGACATTGGGTAGGCACGCTCAGTGTCTGCCAAATCACCAGACACTGTTTAGGCTAAACAGAGAAGATGCTAAAGCCAAAGAGAAAGAGGTGGATATCCAGGTAATTCTGTAATTCCATGCCTCAGACTGTGTCCCAGAAACGTCTGATCCCACATGGCTCCTTCTCCTTCGAGCTGTCAAGATGCCTGGTTAAGTGACTGTTAAACTGCCTTTGCCTCCTACCTCCTGTCTACCACCACCCAAAAGGCTGCCCTTGAGGTAGGGAGGGAAGTGATCCCTGCTATCCCTTTGCCAAATCTCTCAGAGAGGTTATGAGGCTGAACAGATTTGTGTTTGAAAAGGGCTTTGAAGCTCTGGCGTGAAAGGTACCACAGAAGTGCAAATGCCTGCAATTCATCGCCTGCTGAATGGAACAGGAACTGAATTGCTTTGAACTGGAATTTCAGGGCCTGTGGCTGGTGTCTGGGATTCGCACAATGGTTTCTGAAAGGGCTTTCTTTTGTATAGACTGCTATTTGTTCTCTCAGTTCCTTACCCAAGTTAACCCTCAATCTCTCCTCACCCATGTCCTCCAGAGGAAGGCCTCAGGCTGGAGGAGGCAAAGTGCAAATGGCTCAGTTTGGCTCCAAGAAGGTTTATCACTTCTTTCCCTGAACTTCTTTAGAGTTCACTCCTTTAGCCACTCAGCAGTCCTCCTCAGGCCCTTCCGGTGGGGGTGGGGGGATTGAACCCCTATCAGCCAAACCCTAGGACTGGCCTTGTGGTGGAGGTGGGGTGGATTCTGAGGATGATGGTCAGGTCACCAATGCTGGTGTCTGATGTGTGACCACCTCTACAAACTAGCCGGAGGGTTGTTAAAGGTGTGCGATCCCCGGCCCAGCCCAGACCTGTTGCTATGGGATCGTCAGGGTGAGTTTCATGGGTCTGCATTTTTCTAAGCACATGAGTGTTTGCCAGAGAGGAAGCTCAAGAAATTCCTTATGTGATGAATGAATTGTGCAACACTCACATTGTACCAGGTCCTGTGCTAAGCATCTTCCCTATAACTTCTCATCTAATCTTTCCCAAAGCCTAGGATATGGCTATAATTCTCAGCATTCCTCCATTTTCCAGATGAAGAGACTTGGCCAAGGAACTTAGCCAGGATCGGGACCCAGGTTCTTCACAGGCACCTTAGCATGATTGAGTTGTCTGTTTCCTCTCCCTGAAGATTAACATTTTTAAAAGGATTTCAAGGCAAGAGCACAGTGGAATGGATCTCCACTGGTGGTTTCTGGCAGCAGAACTGGTGGGAGGCTATTACCCAATGCTGTGGTGTCAGGAAGAGTTAAATCTTTTTGACAGTTCAGTGGCCCCCTTTGGGTTTGCCCAAATGGCACCTGTTGTTGAAGTCAATAGAGCTTACAATTTAATTTCATCTGCCTGCAAACAATCTCTCTCATTAGGGGGTGGAGTGATGATGGGATTCTCCCAGCCATGCCATTTCACTTTCTACACGGGTAATGCATAAGTACAGTCCCTGTTTCCTGCAGAATGAGGGAGAGTCCCCTCCACCCCCAGACCGCGTGTAATGAGAAAGCAAGTCTCTGGGTAAGGAGAGAGGGGGGAGGCAATGAGTTGGGGTGAGGAGGGGTGAGAAGGGGTCAAGCTTGCACACAGGGCTCCTGAGAGTGCTTGTCTTTTCCCTCTGTGAGTTGTCACCTGTCCACTTGCAGGCTAGTCCTTATGTTCAATAGAATTTGAATGCTTCTGTTACCCAAATGACAAGGAAGTGGCTTTTCTATCTATTAGAGATGAACCCACAGGATGGGCATGAGGGACTCTCTGTTTTCAGCTCTGAGCTAATAGGACCCTTTGGTTCAATAATAAAGGTGATAGTGATAAAACACCAGCAACAGCAAGGATAGTGCTGGGTACCATTTGCTTGCTACTATACAAGGTGCTCTGCTTAGATCTCTTTATTTATGTCTCACAATAACTCTGTGAGCTAGGAATATAGTGCCCATTTTACAGAGGAGGAGACTGAGACTGAGCGGGAAGAGGTCTTATGTCATATAGTCAGTAAAGACAAAAGCAGGCCTTCAAATATGTATCTTTTTTTTTTTTTAAAGTTGAGGAGTTTATTAGGGAAATATGAGAGGCAAAGACACCCCAAGTGACAAAAAAGAAAATTCTGAAAATGTACCTTCAAGCCAGGTGGGGGCCTGGCCTTGACCTCCCCAAAAGGACAAGAAACTGGTGGGTTAGGAACAACATTCTCTGGTGGCCACCTTGCCAGGGCGTAAGTGTCTCAGCCAGGAATGCCTTGCATCCCCCACCAAAGGTGGAAAGGAGACAAAGACTGTTTATAGAATCAATGCAGAGGCAATGAGAGCTGTAAGGAAAGTCAGAGAGAGAGAGAGAAAGAGAGGTGGGGAGGACCGTGACAAAGAGTCCCAGGTGTTTGGCTCGGAGCACCTCAAATACACTGACGAACAGTTCTACAAAATGTTACTTAAAAAGATAAAATGCCTAACGTTGGTTCCAAGAGCTCCCCTGGACGTCTTCCCACATGCCACATCACACACCGATGTACACGGCAGAGCCCAAAGGCCACGCTTTTGAAAAAAGAAAAACAAGGATAAGGCCTGTTGCTCTTTAGGGAGAGAGGAAGGAGCTGAGGCTGCTGGGGCCTTTCCCACGTTGGCCTGTATTCCGTAAAGCAGCTTCCCAGCAGCAGCATGGTGTAGTTCCAGGTGAGGGTCTTGCCTTTTGTCACCTGGGCTTCAATGTACTCTATTCTCTGTTCGAGGGCTGTCAATTTCTCGTTTAGTGTTGCAAGTCTCGAACAACAAGACATATCAAACGAGTTGAGAAAGTCTGCGATTTTCTTGATGCTGCTGGTGATGACTCCTATGTATTCCCAGTTCGCCCAGTCCTGGTGAATCTCCCACTGCACCGGATCCTCTTGACCCGCCATGGCTGCCACCTGACGAGAAGCCACCCAAATATGTATCTTCTTCACCACTCTCATCACCTGTCCTTCAACTGTGTTTCAGTAATGACACAAAGACTGCATGTCCCAGTTATTCTCCAGGGATCAGGATTATACCCATGACATTGCACATTGTGTCAGGAGTGTTGAGGGTGCTTAAGAACCTGCTCCTTCCCCTCTCCCCAGGGAATTCCTTGGGAAACCCATGGGAGGGATACTGTTGGAAATTTCATTTTCTTTTATGAGTTATCAGTGACAGAGAGTACGTGTGTGTTTGCATGTTCTGGCAATACTGGTGTCTGATGTGTGACCTATATTTTATTAAAGTTATAGCTTTTGCAGGGAGTTGGGGTTATTACTGGTGCTTTGGGAGAGAAGTGGTCAAAGTTGGACTCACTCTGGCATGTGGAAGGTGATTTCAAGTTCTTTGCCCGGGAGATGTATATGCTAATAGGAAAAATGCTCTTTCTTCTCTTCAGGCCAAGTTCAGAAAGATTATACTAGCTCTGTGGGTTGCAGAAGGAAAATAAAAGAACAGACATGGCCTGGGAGGCAGACTAGGAAGGGAAGAAAAAAGGAAGAAAAGGTAATGTCCCTAAAGAAGGCTGACAAAGGGAGGGTAGTAGTGTTCCTCCTTAGAGCTCAGTGGAGTACATGTGGTGTGGGGCAAACCAAACGAGTGAATGTGCATTATTGAATGAATGAATTGTGGCATTGAATTTAACAGGTTATTAGAGCAATGGAAAAATTCAAGCCATACATAGGACTTCCTTTTCTCTAACCTCATGTTGAACGAGGACTTTCTGATGGCACAAGATAAACCTATTTCCCAATCACGCTGTGCAGCAGGTATTTGTCATAATCATTGCCATCCTACATCTTTTGAACTCCCTCTCTTACATTTTGGTGGTTTTTCTCATTGAGATTTGCACCTTCCAACAGTAGAGGTAGGAAAACTTGCATTCCAAGCCATACTTGTGTTCCAAGCCACATTTAATCAGGTTCCACCAGGGAAAGGACCACATAAAAGGAAGATCACATTCAGAATCTACTTTTCTAGATAGACAGGCAGGAAGTGGTGGGGCTTTTTAGCAGCAGCTGAAGCAGCAAACCTACTTGCAGTAAAATCCTGTGGTTGGCTTGCCCTGTGGTTGCTCTGTGTCTACTGGGCGAGCTGTGCTGTGCATCCACACCCCCAGTGGGACTCACCTCTGAGTGGTTCAGCAGTGCCATGTGGGTTCTTATCTTGGCTCTAGAGTCTCTGAGCTTGATTCACTGGCTCTGGGTTCCTGGAAATTTTGTAAATTTCACAGTATCTGTAACCATTTTCCTTTTTGTTTCCACTAGCTGGAGTTGGTTCTGTTGTTTGCACCAGAAAATCTTGACCTACTTGGGTAAACACTTCTTTTTCTTACTGTGAGTTAATAAATGGCGTTCTGGTTTTCCTGATTCTAGCTCACTCTGATCCACTGATGAGTTCCGAGTTTCTGAGCATGCGAGGCAGAAAGTGTCATGCCCTGGATTCTGACAGTGGCTTTTACACTGCTCTGATAGCTCCATCACCCTATCCAGGAACCCTTAATGACTTACTGTTGTCTGTGGGAAAAATTCCAGACCTCAGACTCTGGTATTGAAGGCTTTTCACTTCCTGGTTCTACTTTCCCACTGTATTCCCGATACTCTAACACCACTACCAAATTGCAGTGTTTGCTTTTCTCTTTGATTTTTTTTTTTTTTAACTCTGGCCACTACTTAACGCTATTCTCTCTGCTTACAGGGATCTGTCTCACATCTCTATCTACCAGAATCTTACCCATCATTCAGGACCCTATTCAAATTACATTTCTTCAATGAACATTTTACTAATGACTCCCTGCAGAAATATTGCTTCATCAACTGAAATCTTCTCTGCATTGAGAGCATCTGTCTGTCATGCCTTGTCTAAGAATTAATTTTTCTATTCAGACATCTTCCCAAATACATTGTAGACTCAAGGACCAGACCATGTCTTACCATTCATTTTGTTTCTTCTTGTATCACTGACACTGAATCTTGGATATGGTAGATGCCAACACAGTCAATGCAAAAATTAATTCGTGAACTGCTCATAATACACTATCTGTCAAAACAGAAAAAAAAATAGTTCCTTTAGAGATATATGGGAACTTTGCTAGAGCTTCAAGATTGGGGTGTTCTTGTGGACCATCCATGGGATCACAACTCTTCAGCAGTGTAACTTATAACGTAGAGACACATGCACTTATGATATTGGAAGAATATCATGTTCAAGGCATGTTCGATGCTAAATTGTGGGTCAGAGAAAAGGTTTGTCCTTCCTTTAACATGTACCCTCACATATAGACTCATTAGTGGGTAAGGGTCCTTTCAGAAGAGTTGGAAGAAAGAGATCCTAAGAGTCTGCTTCCCAAATGAAAGCTCTTAAAACAGCCAGGTTTTTCTCTAGTCTTGCTTCTGCTGCAAGTTAGAGGAATGACCTTGGGCAAGTCATCTATCTTTTCTGGGCCTTAGTTTCTTTGTCTAAAAATTAAGTCATGATAATGTTTTTGCCTCATTTGATTGCAGAAAGGCCAAATAAGATAGGAACATCTTGGAGGCAGAGGGGCAGATGGGGCTAGAAGTCAGTGGGAAGAGAGAAAGAAGGAGAGTAGTAAGAAGGGGCAGTAAATATGAGGGGGAGCGTAGAGAATGGAATCAGAAACTGGCCTAGAGGCACTACAGGTGGAGGGGGCCCTCTTCTACCTGAAAAACATGAGGGAGTCTTTCTGAAAGTGTTTCTCAGGGCTACAGCAGACTGCTATTTCCATACCGAAATTTCCTTCTCCCCTCCTCTTCACTATCAGAACCCCTATATTGTTAGGGGGAGCCACCTTGGAAAGAACAAGTGTTTTTTTGTGTGTTGCTTTTCTCTCAAGCCTAGGTCTGGGAATCTAGGGAAGCACTTACATATTATAGACATTCTACATGCCTTGGAGAATCAGTGCTGTCCAAAGAACAATTGTGAACTTTCTCATTAAAAACATCACAGTTTGGAATGGAGTTTAAATAAATCACATGAGCCTGGGGCCTCTTTATGGGTTAGGGTATGAAAAGATCTTTCACCTGCTGTGTCCTGGGGAAAGCCTTTACCTTCTATTTTCTTTCTTTCTTTCTTTCCTTCCTCCTTTCTTCTTCCTTCCTTCCCTCCTTCCCTTCCTTCCCTCCCTCCCTCCTTTCCTTCCCTCCGTCCCATCCCTTCCTTTCCTCCCTCCCTCCCTCCTTTCCTTCCTTCCTTCCCTCTCTCCCCCCTTCCCTTCCTCCCCTTCCTTCCTCCTTCCCTTCCTCTTCCTTCCTTCCTTCCTTCCTTTTTAATACAGTCATGTAGTCATTGTTGTTGAGCTGCAGAGAGAATGCTAGGATTCTCTAAAGAACCTATTGTAGCAAGAATCTGAGTTTGTCTGGTGAGCCCAAGCTAGGACATTGTTATCTATACTCTTACCTATGTTCACTGCTACTGCAGCCTCCTCTTCTTCATTATGATGATGAATTTTCATCATGCTGCTTCCCAAATGAAGAAAGCTCTTAGAACAGCCAGGTATAGTCTCATCAATGTGGTCCTGCTTTGAACTAGCCAGGCCCAGAACAGGGTAGGACGTTTTCTCCTCATTATCACCTCATCACTCAGTTCCCCTTGTCTGAGTAGGGTCAGAGAGGTGGGGCTCAGAGATGAGTGCAGGAACAGAAGTGCTAATGAAGAGAAAGTGTTCAAGCATGGATCCTGCCCTCTCATTCAGGCCCCATTGAAAATGGTAACACCATGAGATCATCTTTCTTTTTACTGCTAAGTTTGAATGAATTTTAATGCTGGTGTTTTGGGGAGTAAGTACTATGCAGATGGCTTTAGTTTTAAGCAATAAACTGTCCCATGAAGAGGGAGGTTAATCAAATATTAGGTTGATGCAGAAGACTTTTATCTGTTTACTGAAAGAAAGACATAATTTGTATTGAGGGAAATGTTTTAGAGAACAAGGAGTAGCTATCAATTTGGTATTTAAACCAAGTTTTTTAAACCAACCTGCTATGTGCTGAGCTTTGGGCTAGGTGGTAAGAATACGAATGAATATTTAACATTTATTAAGTGCTTTCTTTAAGACAGGACCCATGAGCTCAAGCCTCTGTGGTGCTTTTATACTTTGTTGACTTAGCTGAGCTGGATCTGTGGTTCTCAGGTTTCCTTCCTGGCATGGTTACGGGTTGCCGGTTGCGGGTTGTGGCTGAGGATGAGAGAAATTTACATAAGGTTTGGAAGGCAGAATTGAACAGCAGCAGGTGTGCTCTGGGGGTCGTGCATGTGGTCCTGATCTGCGGCTTGCCTTGCTGACGTGGGGCAGCAGCTGAGCCTGCAGATCTTCTGGCACCTGCGGAATCTTGTCTTTTAGTCTCCTGAACCAGATGTATGCGCATCTTTGTGGTGAGGGAACCATGTCTTTGAGGAAGAGGTGATGAAAGACACACGTGGGTTTAGTTTGTCTTATGGGTTCAGGTTTGTCCTTATGGGTTGCAAGTTTTCCCGTCTCTCCCCATTTCATGTCCAGCTTTTCTGCCTGCTGGCCCTGCTGACCTACAGCAACTCCAGCCCCCCAGATACACAGCCAACAGCCCTCCACAGGCTTCTCCACCAGCTTCTTCTTCCAGTCCCTGTGAGCGATTTTGTCTGATTCTCCTATCCCCTTCTGGACTTGTACTTCACTAGTTTCTCCCACAGTTGCATAAGGTCTAATCTGTAATATCGAGCCCTTATTCCACATCATTCGTGCGACATTGATTTTAGGACTGGCAGAGGCTCAAATGGTCTCAGGGAGAAAATCTGGACAGTCAGGAAGTTGATATTGGGGGATAGAGAAAAGGCAACACATGGTATGTAGTGGTGAGAAGTTTGGCAACATTGTTGTCTGCAGTAATTTGAAAACACAAAATATACCTAATGAACTGGTAGATTTGGTT